TTTAAAATTTTAAAGTCACTATCACAACTTGAAAAGAAGGCAACTTGTTTGAGTGCTTGCAGACAGAACTACAGAGAGGCAATATCTGAGCTCCGTTCTTAAACTACTTTCATCGAGGGGACTTTCATTTCTTATGAAAGTGAATGAATAAGAGACTCTTTGGTCGATCTCACCAAAAAAAGAGGACGGATGAATCTCGTTGTACTGCAGCCGTTTGGCTTTTAGACGATATTCATGTTGACGCAGTACACGATACTTACTCCCTCGTTTCGGGTGAAAACGTACTGAGCTTTCGATGAACATCATCAGAGCTGGGTTTCATTCTTGTAAGAGCCTCACATTAACACTAAAGCAAGAACACTATCCGGCTCCATCTTACCTCTAATATAAACTTAATTGAGCCAAAATAAAATTAAAAAACTTGATATAAATAGAGTGGTTTGGATAATTATCTTTCATACTGATCCTGTTACTTTTGTTCGAGTGCATGCGTATGTGTATGTGTATGTGTATGTATGCGTGTTAGCGTCTATATGCAATACGATTCCTAAATCAGAATTATCAAAGATTTACTCTCAGGTTCTGATCATCAAGGCCTAATGACCGAAGAGAAAGCTCTGACCGAGACTACGTAGGTCCGTAAACAAGTATGGTGAAGTAATGAGATATGAGCTTGTAAGCATGAAAATTAAGTCACGAAACCACTTGTCCTAACATTTTAGTCTAGGGTCATTAACGTTTAACCCTCCAATGAAAGGCATGACCAGGGCTGCGTAATCTCGTAAGTCTGGTTTGGTTGATGATGGACTGCGTCAATCCGAACGTCCTATCAAAGCAGTACAACGAGATTCATCCGTCCTCATTTGATGAGATCGAGCAACGAATCTCTTCTTCATTCACTTTCATACGAAATGAAAGTCCCCCTAACAAGGTTATCTCATGAGATTCATCGAAACCAAGTTTCTCTTCCTACCTACTTTCATCGATAATACATTTACCTGTTAAATTATAATTCCATAAATCCTTTGACACCACTCCACCTGATCTGTGCTTTGACGGCATAATTGACCTTTACTGTTCGGATTTTGTGTAATATAACAACGCCCAAAGATTAAACTTCACGCACTGACGAGATTGTAAACTCTTCGATGTGTTTTGTTCAGCTATTGAGCCAAATTTTGCAATTTCTAGTTCGATGTGACAACTTGAACTACATAACCAGGACATTATGATCGCCAATTATCATGTCCTGAAACGTCTTATTATGAAAAGAAACTCCTTAGGCAGGCCTGGTAATCCGTGTATGATTGTGGTTGAGAATGCAAAAAAGAATTTCTGATCACTGCTCTCTGCTGTTTCCATGACAATTGGCCTGTGACCTGGGATATGGCCAGGAAAAGTGGGTTGGCTGAGAATTTTTCCCACCCCTTCCCTATCTAGTGGGAAGCAAGTTTATGTGAAATCGAGTGGAAACGTTAGATCTGCTCATGTGATTGTGTGAGAATTCAACTGACACTCCTGCATCAACTTGTCAAAATAAAGTGACCAAAGGAGGATTGTGCCGACCGTTGGAGCTCTGAGAATGTCTGTCAAGGCAGCTTAGTTCAGGTTCTGCTGGGTCGCAGGTCGGGGAGCCGAGGACCTATTCGCACAATCCGACGCGGCAATCCTCCTTCGGTCACTTTATTTCGATAAGTTGATGCAGGAGTGTTAGTTGAATTCTCACACAATCACATGAGCAGACCTTACATTATCACTCGATTTCACATAAACTTGCTTCCCACTAAATAGGGAAGAGTTGGGATAAATTCTCAGCCAACCCACTTTTCCTCGGCTCCCCGGCCTGCGACCCAAAGGAACCTGTACTAAGCTTTTGCTGTCCTGCCTCGACAGACATTCTCAGAGCGAGACTCGACACTCTACCAAATAGTGCAGCAATGCATGCAACTGAGAGAAAAGGTGACCGGCTGCAACCCAGTCACTTCGATTTGGTTGTCTACCTCAAACGTGCTCTGCTTGCTTGTCGATGAGTAAAGTGAATCCAGTGGCAACAAGTGGACCCAGTGGCGACTGTTTCCGCGCCAAATCAAATCAACTACCGTACGATCTTCTCATGTTGACGCATGTTTGGCCTGTTAGCTCTAACCAGACTCGAGGCTATTGCAGCCTCTCCTCAAGCACACCCAATAGCCACAAATAGTTCCTACTCAATTCCATACACTCCTTCTTCCAAGTCAGGATGTTGGCTGTTTTGTTGATTTCTGTACACTTCCCAATAATACACTTCGGTGTGAAGTCCCCATAAACAACAAGACGTGTTTTCACACGCATAAAATCTTGCAAGCGCTTTTGTGTTCACATACTCTCTTTTGGATGGGTCGGCAGGTCGTCCTGACATAGACATTACCACATAAGTAGAAAAACCTTGCAACAACTTGGTAGCAGAAAGGGTCAGAAAATTGTCGAAAAGAAGGCACGACCGAAGAAAATGTTAATTTCTCTTTATAAATCGTTCACACGTTCCACGTCCTCAGTAGGTCGTGACAAGAGGGCGAAATCAGTCCGTCTGTCTAACCAGCCCTAACTAGCAATCGCCCCTTATCCTGTATTTAAATGTAATTAATTTTTAATCTTAACGGTAATTGTTATATATATATATATATATATAATTAAATAGTACATCCTTTAATATACCGATGTCCTGTTGCCTGTGATTTACGCAGATTGCTTATTAACATCATTTTCATAGTTTCTACCTTAACCCATATGTATGATTAGACACGTAGTTGATAAAGTAACCCGCCTGTGTGGCTTTCCCACACATGTATCCACTTAACTTATTGCTGCCTTCTTTAGTCACTAATATCTCCAAAAATGGCATTTTTTTCCGTTTCTAACTCCACAATGAATTTAATAATGCCATCTATTTTATTCATTAGCCAAAATAGTTGACCAAATCTATCCTCGTCGTGTTGTCAAAGCAGCAAAGTGTTCGTTCATGTGTGGAATTGACAAGCAGTCATTAGCTGAAACAAGTGATAAACAAGATCGTATAGCAAAGGCCTGTGTTTGCTCATACAACTTACCATAGAAGGTGAAATGTGTACTATAATGTGCACTGGCCAAATCGACTGTCCAGTTTATCAGAATGTTAGTGCACATGGACACTACACCGAAACGTACCGCCTGCCTTGCAGGTCACATCTACCCCTACCCCACTTGCATCAATGGCTGTGTGGCCGAGTGGCAACTTGTGTCCCCAAGATTCTGAGTGCCGGGCTCGAGGATGAGATACGATGAGGTGAGGTCGAACCGGCAGTTCTGTTCAGTTGAGCCGGGAAGAGAAAACTCTCTGAGAATACAGACGAAAAGAAATGCAGTGCTTTCCTGGGACCTAATCTTTGGATTGTGGGAAAAATCACCTCGAGCAACCTAGGCTGACTAACTTCTTCTTCTTGTGATGTGTTTTCCTCATTTCATTCAATGTCGCGGAGGGCTGACAGTTGAATTTTCCCAGAATCACTTGAGTCTCGAAAATCTACAAACATTCCTTACCGACCTTCTTTCTATGGGTTATTGGATTATTTGATAATTCTGTCATTATTTCACTTTGTCATTTCCCAGTTTGTCATTCTATTGATTTGGGCCGACCAGCCGAGCTGTGGGTCGCATAGGCACGGAGGGAGACGCGAAGATTTGGGTGGGCTGAGAGAGACGAGAAGCCTGACCGGAGGTCTGATTGAGGTTTTGGCTGGGCCTGGCTCTACAACCGCTGCTCCGGTCCGCTTGCCCTGGCCGAGATGAGCCAACAGTTGGCCAATCACATTCGTCCCAAAGCCCTCTCTCCCATCGCGTGAGGGAACAACATCTCATCCTGAGCCAATGAGAGCTACGGGCCCTCTGAATGGGAGCGACTGAGACGGGAGATTGCTGATAGACATGGCCGTGTCAGCCCGGTTTGTAGGCTTGTCTCTGGTGGGCATTACAGACAATGCTGACCGTGTTCTTGCAATGCCAACAGAACAAAACGAGCCACAATCTATCACCATGTTCGGAGTTATTTTGTGCGATAAGGGGTGATCAACATGCTGATGTAGATGGTGATTTTGTTCGTGAGTAGGTTATCGAGACTACCGGTAAAGAAAGGTACATGAGTTGTTAACGTGTCGAGCCTACACGCTGCACTATCATGGCCGAAGCCCGTTTGGGGTGTTGCTAAGACCTCAGTAATTC